CGTGGAGGGCATCTCTTACGACTTGGTTGAATGCTGCCGGGCACGTCAACAGGCAAGGTCATTAGTTCCGTTAGTGTAATGCATGATTTATCACGGAAGGTAGCGGTGATCTTTCCTCACGTGGAGATCCGGCCTTACGCCATGAGCCACCCCAGGTGGGACAAACTCTGTAAGCTCCCTGGCTTCCCGACACGTGTGATAGAGTAGTGCATGTGAGTGTGTTAAGTATGAGGTGAGGAAAGTACAAAGAAGAGAAAGGAAATATCGCGCGTGGCCCGTGGCCCGTTTGTTACGGTACAGTTCCGTCCTTCACCTGGTGTTGAGCGTAGAAAACTCCTGATCAGAGCAGCCGGCCGCTAGAATTCTCCTTCAGTCAGAGGCTGCATGTGACCTTGCTATCTAGCTTGTGCCGCAAACTCTGCCACCATCGGGACCCGAACCCTGCCAGTCAGAGGCCCTAAAGTGACGTCTGCTCTGAGCCACGCCAATCGTTCTGACGACCCGGCATTGCCAACGGTTAGGAGGTCTCGGATTCGATCCCGCGATGAGCCAGTTATTTATTTGATGTTTTTAACATCGGTGAGTTTGTGGAGCCTCTTGGAATCACATCTGTAGCCTACCGCTCTGGTCAGAGGTTTTCGTATTTTTTTCTCTTCTTTCCTAAGCGAATAAAGAGCACTACACTACGTAGTAAGTTCGGGTAATATGGAATGCCGAGCTTATTCCTCTGTCAAGAGCTGCAGCCAAGTGGAACAGTGGCAAACTACTTCAGAATGCTCGTATGATGCTCTGGAGCAAACGTCACCCTATCGCCTTGTGCATCGCACTGGCTACTGAAGATTCGTTTTTCGGTTTCCGAAAATCTACTCAGGTAGGTATTGAAAATTAAATACTTTTAGTTTGGTTTCCGTCTAATAACTAACGTCTAACAACGCCACTGCAACGTATACAACAGTTAAAATCGAAACAAAATTATTTGCTATTAAAAAAGTTTGTATTTAAGTTTTCAAAACAAATATAAAATTGAAAATTGTTGAAATGGAGTTCATCTCATATTCCCTGTTATAAACAGTGGGTGGGGTGTGGAAGGAATGGTGACAAAAGAAATCGGTATTCCGTGTTACCTGGATGTCCTTGACAATGGGAATTATATTGCGAGCAAATTCCCTTCCTCTTCCCTTACCAATGCCATTACCCCATTATCTTCCAAATCCGACTAAGGTGCCGTGGAAAAGAGGGCTTCATCCCAATCCACCCAATCATAACCAACATATGCCGACATAGTGACCTTTCGTACCCTTTAATTACACACGACTGATAAAGAGAAAGAAACGAGTGCTACAGTAGCACATACTTTCTCACATCATTTCTAAGTTTTGCCGTTTTCTAAAATTTGGAGAGTTCAACGAAACTGAAGCCTGCGTCATTATTAAGTGCCCTTTGTTCCATATATGTGAAATATTTTTTTCAAAAACGTTTGTAGCCGTTTTTAAGAAAACAGGGCCTCAATACGAGCTTTTCTGTCAAAAAATCGCCGATTTTCGTCTTGACATTTTATTACTTTTACGTTATTCCGTAAGTACTTCGTAAGAAGAGAAAGAAAAAAATAGCTGGTGTGTATACTGCGCCATTACAGCGCGTCGGGACTTGATGTTGAAGCCTATCGATACACAAAGCTGCTGCTGCGATCATGCAACAACTACCACTAATGCGACTTTTTATACCTACAGATTTCGTATTGTATGCTTTATATTCAGAAGGTCGCCTTTCTCGGTCACTTTTGCTGCGAAAACACGTCTTCTCCTCAGTAAAAATGCCTTCCCGTCATTCAAAAATAAAAAATAAAAAACTCTGTTAAAAGTGGGTGCATAGAAACCTCTCAGGCCCTTGCTTCGCCAAATGGAGAACAGTTTGTTCGAAAAACGCTCTGAAACTCGACGTGTTTCTCGCATTTCTTTACTCAAGTTCTCGTCGAGAACTCGGCGGAAACATTGGAGACAAAGAGCAACTGCTGTGCATTCAGCGTGCTTTCACTCAGTTGTAATTTGAACAGTCAATTTTGCAGGGCAGAGCGTTGAAGAACACAGAAAGAACCGGAAAGAAAAAAAGTCTGGATGGTTCTTCAAATCCGATGCCCTGTGAGCGCGCAGGTAGCAAGCCGGCGCCATGGGATATACATCGACTTTAATTGGAGAGTTAAGAAGGGGGAGGCTTTGAATCTTTTAAAGCAGACGGGAAACCTGCTATCGGCGACTGGAAGGTGACACTGGGTCTCCGCCGTCTGTCGCCGGCAAGCCTTTCATTTTAAAGTGCAATCGGTGCTTGGCAACGAATGGAGAATGGGGCCGTAGTACTTTTCACCCTTTCTTCCCTCCCCTTCCACTTACTTTGCACGAGCAACACGGCAGTCTGGCATGAAACATTCATACCGTCGAGCGACAATACAAGTCTTCGCACTTTCTCCCTCTCATTTATTTTGCATTCCACTTGATATTTTCGAGACAAACTGGAGGGGAAAGAAAGGGAAAACAACTTTTTTGGGAGCTTTTGTGTCGTCGGGAGACGAAAGACGAACGTAAGGTGAGAAGGATGTGGGCGTGAAGGTTTCGACCAAAGCTAAGGTAACCTTCGCAACTATTTCCATGAAAATTGCTGGCGCTGAGGAACATACACCAATCATAATATACACAGGACTAGGGAAAGTACGTTTATATTTTTGATGGGCTTTTCTCAACTCAGTTCAGAAGAGGTGGCTCAGAGCGTCAACAGATATCACTGCATTGTCTGTGATCGGGACGTCCTACGGTTCGAATCCCGTCATTTTCGACACTAACCACATCGAATTCGTCAGGCTACTCTTATCGGTAATTTTTGCTTTGTTTTTTTCTGATCAACACCAGGCGAATGCTAAAGCAGAATCCTAACAAACGGGGCATGAACCACACACTATCTTTTCTTCCTCTTCCTTGTCCAATCCTCTCCCCCAAAACACACTTCTTTTTTCATGCACCACACTACCACATATATATCGCGAGCTTACAGCTTATCCGGGATGCGGCGATGTCCGCTGGTAGGAGGTATGTGAATGGGAAAATCTCCCCAAGCCGACTTATAAATCGGCGCAGCTCTCACCACTCTGCGGAGGAAGTATACATCCCGTGATAAAAGTATGCACTACAATCACGGAACTAATGAATATAGCAGTTAACGCCCGGGAAACACGAAATAATCAATCAACCTAATAGTAAATTAGCTATTAAATTGTCGCATTCACTGTAAATATAACAAAGAAATTGATATCTTATTAGATGCACATATTTTTTTAGTATATGGGACATATTACAAGACTTCAAGGGCAATATAGTGTTTTTAGGGGAAATTTTTGTCATAAATGCATTAATTTTTTGACAAAAAACACGTCGAAGGTTTCGGCAAAGAAGTTTGTCTGAAAGTGACTGTGATGTTGAAGTTGACGCATACGTGAGTATTGAGATATTAAAAATTATTATTCCACCGAGATTTGTCTCTTGTAGAACAGCTATCACATTTACTTTTGTTTTTAGAATAATTCTTTCGTTATAAAGTTTTGACAACGTGTTTTTATCAAGGAAAGGTC